CACATTACGCACATCGTCACCAGAGCGCGCGCGCACACACACATACGCTTCCACAATTCGCCGTCAGAGCGCGCGCACGCGCATCTCCACGTCACCCGCCCACACCCTCAGCTCCTATGACGTCATGGGCCGCTGAGGGTCATGCGGGTCTGGGATCAGGAAGTCGGTAAGATAAGCTTATCTTATAAACTTCCTGATCCCAGACCCGCATATTCCCCCAACTCATGTGCAATGTGATTTCAGGTGCTGCAGTAGGACTAGGTGTAGAAATAGGAAAAAATCTGCCTATAACCTCCTCCTCATTTCAAGATTTTATCGAGGAATATACTAAAACTGTTAAATCTTAAGTAGCTGTTATTATAATTGTCATCATGTACTGTTAGTATTACTATTATTATTATTTTATAAGTAATGTTATCTATATTATTATTATTATTATTATTATTATTATTAGAAGTAGTAGCAGTAAAATCACTATATCAAGAAAATGATATTCTAAAAATGAAATGGTATAAATCTTGAAATGTTAAAATATTTTAAATAAAATAAAGTAAGTGAAATGTTCAACTAATTGCTGCTAAATATAATTATATCCTATGTAATATCTTAATATATCTGTAACAAGTATTGTATAATCACTAGGCCAATAACCCCATCTTGATCATGTTTTTTGTCCAGTTTCCCTGGTCCTTTGCGCAAATGCTGAGATGGCCTCTTGTTTGCTTCTGGACAATAAAAATAAATGTAACTTCACTCGCTGCTCCCAAGATGTATGCGATTGTACTCCCTCTAAATATATCATATTTGACTCGTCATACACGATTGTAATTGTATATGACTCAATAAATATTATTATTATTATCATTATTATTATTTCTTCAAGTCTCTCGCTTAGCGAGGTGCCTATAGCAGACACCGGGACCTTTGTAGAACCAAGGTGCCTGCTTCGGTTGCAAACTCGGGCGGTCAGTTATATCAGTAGAAACTTCCTAATGATGCGTGCAGTACTCAGGAGAACAGCCTTTTGCATTGTTTGAATGTGCCAGTTCCTAAGGCCAAGACTAGCAGACGATGAAATTAGTTCTTCGGAGATCAGTCCATTTGCAGAGATGACCACAGGGACTACTTCAACAGATACTAACCGCCACATGTCGCTCAGTTCAATAGCCAAGGCCTGATATTTTCGCTTCTTTTCGGCAACTATATTTCGATCTAAATGGATAGCTATGTCGAATATAATCCCTTTCCGTGAAGCCTTGTCAATCCATATTATGTCAGGTGTGTTGGCTGCGACCCTGTGATCACTGGTGACTGCTACATTCCAAAAGAACTTCCACCGTTTCGACTCCAAAACTGAAACCGGCTTGAACTTGCAGTATGGCACCTCTATCTGTATCATCTCCGACTTTGCAGCCAGGGTCTGATGAACAACCGCAGCAACGTCGTGATGCCGACTCAGGTATTCTGCGCCAAAGCAGAACACCCGCCCATGATGTGTTGGAGGGTTCTCAAACCCTAGATATGTTATTTGGCGCTTCCAGTTCATTCTCACTTCTCCCAGTCGGCTATCGGGAAAGCGAAAAGCCCTCCGATTGGTAATTGATACAGCTTCAGGTTTTCCTACTGCTATTTGAAATCGTCGTCTTTTAACTCTATAGAGTGCTTCATTCACTCTTAGTTCAAGCACCTCAATATCGTCACTATGACTTATTATTACTGTATCATCCGCGTATCCTATTATCTGCGTTTTTCTTGGAAGGTTGATACTCAATTTTCCATCATAAGGTACATTCCATAGAAAGGGGCCAAGTCTGGATCCTTGTGGAACTCCACACGTCATATTTTATTCAATCTTAATGCTATCCATACAAATTATCTTTCTTTCATGAAGGTAGTCCTCGATGATCCTTAACAAATATTCAGGGATCCGCCTGTCAACTAATGCTTCCATGACATCCTTCCACCTGGCTGCGTTGAAGGCGTTTCTAATATCAATTGTTACAAGTGCGCAGAATCCCTTTTCCCTCCCAGTTCCATTTCTAGCTGCCCCTGCTATGCGAACTACTTCTAAAATCGCATCCGTCGTCGAACAGCCTTTCTGAAATCGATATTGTCTATGAGACAAGCTTAAATATTCCTCAAGTCTTGAGAGTATTAGCCCCTCCAGTAACTTGCCCATAGTATCAGGAAGGCACAGTGGTCTATACGACGATGTCTGTTCCAACGGTTTTTTCCCTTACGGAGGAGTATCAGCTTTTGTTTCTTCCAGTTCTTGTAAAATTTCCCATCCTTAAGGCATCTATGCCAGAAGACATTCTGGATATACTAGTACCACTAATTTTAAAATTTCGGTGGGGATCCCATCCAAGCCTGGTGCCTTTCCAGTTTTCATATTCTTTACTACTTTCCGCAATTCGTCTACCGTAAAGTAATCAATATCGTTGAACATAAAATCATTCTGTCTTTGCCTCACCCAGCGATCTTTTGGGAAAGAGCTCTCTAATAGCACCCTTAATCCACTATGGGTTATTCAGGTAAGATATTTTGGGATCCATCCGGACTTCTTAGTCACTATCTTATATGCCATACCCCAAGGTCCATTAACAATCTGCCTTAGAAGTACCTTCCAACTTCTACTTTTACTCTTTTAATTTCTTTCTTAAGTCACTTAGGTTGCGCTTTATATTGCTAGAAGGTATAGAAAACATAGGTCGGTCTTGGCTCTTGTCGCCATTCTTCTAGCCTTGATGCAGCTCTTACATGCTTCTGCTATTTCCGAGATCCACCAGTACATTTGTTGTTTATTCCTGGGGCCACTGCTTCTAGGCATAGACGTGTCGCACACTGCTGTCACTATTTCTTCCGTTGTCTTTACCACGTCTTTGAATGTTTCCGCTTTATTTGTCCAACCCATTCTTGCCAGTAAACTGGATTCTTCCAAAAAGCGTTTTGCCTTATCCTCATGAAGTTTTTTGGTATTCCAAGACGGCCCTCTTTTGTATCTCGCCTTACCATATTGTGGTCCCTCTGATACTACGGTATATCCTATGTATCGGTGGTCACTCAAGATTTCTTCATCCCACACCAACCAGTCTGTGATGCCCTTAGCCAGTCTGGAAGTACGTATTGTCAAATCCAGTATAGATGAAGTATCTCCCCGTTGGAAAGTATTGCCGATCCCAGAGTTTAGGATGATAAGATCGTTTCTTGCTACAAACTCACATATAATGGCTCCTCTCCCGCGCGGCTTCCTTCCATTCCGACGATTTACCATTGAAATCACATGCTATCAGAACCTCTCCTTTCGTTGTTTTCAGACTTGCCTCCAATTCGTCGATGTCTTTTTGAAATTTTTTTAATGTATCGTTCGGAGAAAAGTAACAGCTATACATTCTCATATTATTCACCTCAACCCATACAAACCCATCCTTCGTCTTCTTATATTTATTAATACTTACCTTCCTATTATGGATTATTATACCCGCTCTTCCAGTGGTATCTCGATACAACGTACTCTCAGTCAGGTTGCTCACTAGTAAGTAACACATCCACTTCCCTCTCTGCAGCAGCCTGCAGCATCAAGTCCCGTGCCTGCTTACTCCTCCCGAGGTTAGTTTGTAGGAGTCGAAGCATACTTGATATTTTTTCTTTTGAACCGCCGCTATAAAGGAGGCACATTTGTTACTTCCTAACATATGTGGAGCGTCTTTGTTTTTGTCATTACATAAGACACTCATTACATAAGTCATTACATTACATAAGTCATTACATAAGAGTTTTCTGTTGGTACAGTTCTTCACAACATGTCCGGTTCTATTACATATGTAACATACTTTGCTACAGTCAGGACCTCTGCAGTCCGTTGAAATATAACCAACGTCTAGACGTCTATAACAGCTTGTTATCTGGAGTTTTTCCCTGATTCTGCAGTTAACCCATCCGATCTTAATATGTCCTACCATTATCAGCTTTTGAGCATCTCTTCTCCCATCAACATTGTGGCTGATTGTATTCCTCCGTATCCCCTGCGCATCCTACAGGGGGTGGGCATCTTGTCTGTAGCTACGTTTATACTTTTGCTCACCGCCTCCAACACCTCCTCAGCAGTGACTGTTTCATCAATATCACTAATTCTATTAGGCGCTTTCGTTCTAGAGCACTCATATGAGCTTGCATCCCTACCATTATTATTATTATTATTATTATTATTATTATTATCATCATCATCATTTTGCCGAGGAGGGGGAAATGCGTTACGGATACCGGTAAGTCCAGTTGTGTCCGACTCTCCAGCGTGGCATACCGACTAA